TCGTGTTCTCACAGGCTTTTTACTCTAATTTAGCTGATTTTCTATCTACCTCTCCCTGTCACTCTGAAACTTGATGCGAACTCTTTGTTACGCAAAAAATTTAAAAACGCTTTATACTGAAATCTGCACAATTTTGAAACCGAAAAATTTGGATTCATTTCGAATTTTTTAGCAATTGGTAGCATTACATCGGATCAAACGAGCTTTGACTGTAAACCATCGAGAATGATTGCAATAGTAGACCAACTATGCGCTTTCGGGCAAATTTTCAACCCATATTTGTACATTTATGGGGTCTTTGAAGCTTGTTTTTGCGCCTTATAAAGGTATTGAAAAAACTATTAAATTTTGATACGCTATAATATTGGGTAGGCGTGGTCAATTTTTTCCATTTTCGTGCACACTATGCTACACTATCGACCATAAATGTGCATTGAAGTTTTTGTGCATTTATTTGCTATAATTTACTGATTCTTGATTCCTTTCGAAAAGCAGAGGTGTTCACAGTTTATTTGCTGCTGCGGGTGTGTCCTTCCACAGATTTACCCAATTTTCAATACCAACCTGTGTGCGAGAACTTACAATATTTCTGCCAAATTTTTTAAAGTTGACAGTTTCACTTTTGCGGCCAGAAGAACGTTTATAACAGACATTGCACAGACGGACATGTTTAAATCGATTTAGAATTTAATGCTAATCCAGAATATATATATTTTGTGGGGTCTCTGATGCTTCCTTCCCGCCGTTGCAAACGTTTTGATAAACTGAATATACCGCTCATCCCTCTGTGACGGGTATAAAAATTGAAAGTAAGCATTGAATTGTTTTTAAAACACTTCTATACGTTGTTGCTTAGTTGTAACGTGAGTTGTCTTGATCTGACCGTTATGACTAATTGTATCTTGCCTATCTATAAGCTTGAACATTTAAGAAAGTGAATTTCATTGCTGTCTTAATAGATCGACGTCCGTGTTCTAATAACAAGAAATACGCATAAAGAACCCCATAAAGCATATATGAGGTGTTTTCATAAAAAAGTTGCCTTCTTATTTTTCTCGAAAAATATTTATTTAGTTATACACGAAATTTGCAAAGTCATGTTGTTTATTAAATACACTTCGTATATATTTTCTTGTCCAATGTAAAATTCTACGGTGATTGAACTATTGTCCTGCGTCCTACAATCTGTTTGTTACGGGTGCGTCTTCTGCGGTTAGCAGACTCAGGGGCTACGTAACGAGCTTCGTCGACATAAGAAACATCATTTTCGAACCATTCGCTGAAATTCGATATTTAGGTATGTCATGAATTGCCAGTAAAGAATTTAATGAACCGAATTTCCAGCGATTGTAAATCGTTGTTGAAACGAAACGGGTAAGAGCTATTTTAAAGGGAGATAACGGACGCTAAAAAGTCGATCGCCCACGATAAACGGTGCAAAAAGAATTGTGATTCAAGGTGTCCAAACGTTAGAATAGGCCAGGTTGGTCCATGCAAGGCAGTGTCTTGTGCTTCGCGGATTTGATTGCGTTTCGTGAATATTGAGGTGCTCCAATCTAGACAGACATTTATTTTACTCTCCAAGTGCCAATAATTAATACGCATAAGTTGCGCAATTGGGATAAAGCGTCCAGAGTTAATCAATACAAAAAGAGTCCTCTTCCATCACGACAATGATGGGATCGTTAGCAAACATGGAAACAGTTTGGTTAAGAAGTTCTATTGCACCCAGCCCATCTGTGTTTCCCTAACACATCCGCGCTCACTATAAGCAAGAAAGCAATTCTTTATACAGTCATTGTGACACTTTTCTAAAAATGCAATCTTCAAATGGGCGGGATACGCGTATAAAAATACTCGCAATAGACAAAAACCTGAAAACTTACGGTGATATTGAATCAGAAGTCGGCACAAATGTCTCCTATTAAACGCCATTTAATACGCTGGTGGGAAAATCGTTTATACAAAAAGATGATACGCCTACAGTTAATAAAAAAATTGTCATTGTGTCGTGTAACATATTTATTCGAGATAGTAGGTATCGAAGATTCCGCGTATAGGGGAATATAATTTTTTTTGTTTGTTATAAATTCTACTCTTTACGTAATGATATAATCGCTGCGAACAATAAAAAACACACGTCATATGAAAAGAAGGAGCAAAAATTGATAATTAAAAATTTATTAATATGCAAATAAATTCTTTATAGTAAACGTTGCACATATTTATTCAATGACGGTTCAGCTACTATTCGAGATTGTAGTAAACATCTGCGTTTTGTCTTGAAGGAGAGAAAGTTTGGATTACGAATCTGATCATATACGGATAAAATTACAAGGATTCATTAAACGTAATCTGGATTTCAGACTTGAAAGGCGGGGTCTCATTAGGAGACGATTAGGTCGACTATTAAAGTTCTATAGTGTCTTCCGTGAGTTTTTGAATTAAAGATATATTTTGTATACGTGCTTGTGGTTGTTGATCGGTATTCGTATCCGGGAGAGGAACAGCATTCTATTCTAAGAACGTTAGCTTGCAAGACAACAAATGGGAAACCAGCCAAAATCTTCTACGCCACCATAAGAGTTTCTTAGTTATGTTCGTTTTATTGAACATTTATGCATTAGTGTAGGTTGAAGGACAAGTGCGTAGGTAGCACACATAGGGGAACAGTTTTAAACAAATCAACTGCGCCCGCAAAGAAAAATGCTTGCTTCATATGTGGCGGTGTCTTTAGGAAACCGTAATTTTAATTCGAAAATGGATCGTTCCGAAAGAATTCTTTTTAATATTGAATGCTGTGTTGACACAGATAAACAACTTGCTGGAAACAACGCGCAGGTCGGAGGGCGCAAATGTCGAAAAAGGTAGTGCAGAATCCTCCACACAGTGGAACAACATCGACCTGCAATTCTTAAGGCTATTATGAACTATCTGGTGGAGAATGGGCAAACCCAGCAATTGTTTGCACTTTCCGCTGAGCTCGGTGAGGCGAAAATATATCATTATCAACACGAACCTTAAGTTGACTGCAAATAGGCAAACTGGGGTGATGCTGCTCAATGGACCTGAGGCGGCTATGGTGCCGACCGGTCAGCTGTCATTCAACTTGCATTTTTTCAGTTTTTCCCAAAGTTATCTCATGGGGAACAGTATGACCCACTTAACAACGATATATAAAAAAAACCTTGACAGAAGTAGCCTTGAGAGATTGCTGTAATAGTTCGAAAAACGTAGGTCGTTTGGAAAATTACCGATCGATATAGTTGTGCATCCATTGATAAATGCTCAGTTAAATTTCGTCCACCTTAGACGTATAGTCTGACCATCGCTTGACTAAGTCCATATGGGTGTTTTTGTGAAAAGAGAAACAATGTTTTGTTTTTGAAAGGCAACACTCCGAAACCAATTAAGGACGAGATGGATTCTGAAGGTAGTGAGATCTGAACCATCATTTGTCGCTAAATAGAAACCAGCTTAAGTGACGATGGACGTTCGCGACGGTTAAAAACTGCAACCGCTGACAAACTCACCCCTCCAGTTTATCATGGACGGAAAAATGGTTATGTTTGCAGAAAAAGAAAATAATATTTCAATGGGTTAATGCACCGGCTCAGCTCTACTAATTATGATTGAAACTGTTTGATCATTCTCCTTGTCCATCAGATCTAGCCCTAAAGAACTTACTTTTATTCCCTAAGGTAAAAATTGCGCCCGGGATGCAGACGCCTTCTTCAAATCAGAAGACTATGATTGGTGAGTTCTTTGCAGAAAAGGACTTTGAGTGGTATTCGAACTGGTTTAAAAGATGCGAGCATTGCTAGAAAAGTGCACGCACTGGTAAGGAGTCAACAAAAAAAATAAAAGTAAATTTAAAGGAAAAACATTTTTTTTGCTTTCTTAGATCGTAAACGTGTCCCGTGACCCGTAATGGAAACTTTTCCTTCAAGTGATTTTATGTCTACATTTTAAATGAATTCGAAATATCTTCTCCTTCCAATAGTATGCTAAAAATTTCCAACGATAGAAGTTTATTCGAAAGACATAATTCATTTTCACAACAGATAGTATTCGCGATTTACTTTGTAGATGTTGACGGGACTTCAGCTAACCCGGATTGGGGCCATTGGTGGCAAGTAAACATCATAAGAGCTTTAGTCCAGAGCTGTGATCTGCCAAAAAATATCTGATGCGGTGTCTTCTATCGATGCTGAGGAGGATACGATAGAGGAAAAATGAAAACTTAAGGTTTAAGCGAACGTTCAGGTGCTTGATGGAATCCGAAAAATGTGTAAACAATCGTAATGAATTCCACGAAAATCCAATCCAATAGTCAAAATGTATAAATAAAACGTTAATGCACGTTAATTATAAATTATTTACAAATACTATTCTCATTTAAAGTGTCGAATGGAAGAGTTGTGAAAATTCTAGGTAAAATCTTGCAATTTGCGAATAAATAATCTTCTTATTTATTTATACATTATTTGCATTTGTGTTAACTAATAGAAATACAATATTTGCGTAACTATTTACGAATGGTTTAAAATTATTATTGTAATGGATGTTTATCAAGCAGGGCTCTTAGAAATGTTTACCAATTACATTTCAGTTGAGTAATGCTGGTTAACAACGCTGCAAGTGAAGAAGGGAACATTTAACTTTACAAAATTTTTTCAAATCATTTTGTTTTGTATAAGTTGTCGCTGTTATGGTTAAAGCAAACAAAAGAAAAAAAAAAAACAACGGAAAGAATTAATCAGAAAATTTTAGAGACACTCTCACAACGACAGTTATTTAAAAAAGAATTTATTTTTTTTATTTCTGTTTTCTTTTTATGAATTGCATCTGTCAAGAGTATAAATCGAAATACATTATCATTATTAATTAATGAATATTAAATTATGAAAAAAATTAAAGCAAACTATTCATTTTATTACTTACATTAAATATTTATAGAATTTTTTTTATTATTTTTATTTCCATTATTGTGATCGCAGTGTATGATGCTGCAGTACAGCAAGCAAATGGCATTGAAAGCGGTATTTTCTATCACTTTGGTCATTACGATCAATGCTTGAAACTTACACAAAAACAACAACAACAACAACAGCAACAACTACAACAAGAACAAGGGCAAGAGCATTCAAATAATAATTCAATAACAATAGTAGCAAAATACTGTCTGGTCGATGTCTTCATAGACGAGCTGACAGTACAAAATACCGGTTCACGTAAAATACGACAGGTTAGTACTCGCATATATGTACGTTACTTACGTCGATGCAAATGTTAAATTAAATGAATTTGTATTGAACTTATTACCTGAATTGAATAATAATAAAAATAAAGACAATAAAAATAAAGTTTAGTAAAAGAGAGAGAGTAAACAAAACATATCAGAAAATTGAAAAAAAAAACACCATTTTACGTCTAAGAATTTTTAATGTATTTCTGTACATCTGGTAACGATCTATTTAAGTATATTCATTTCTTCATACTATTCGGGACACTTAAAAATGCTTACGGATATGTAAGACATTGCATGAAGACCATGTTTCGTGTGATTTCGTGCCTTCTCGAAATCAAATGCCAGAAATATCGAATTTTTCTAAATAGTTTCCCTAGTGTATCTAGGTGGCGGCAACCACCACAAGGTAGTGATAGCTTTTAACTGTTTTTAACTGTTACGGCTCGATTTTGTTTATTTAAGAGTCTTTAAGAACTGCTTATTAAACATTTAACTTTCAAAGATGTAGGTGCACCCCATGTTAGAGTTTGATTGAGTTCCTCTCTTACGGAGACGCAGTAATTTCGCATATAAAGGAAGACAATGAACCAAATATGAGTTCTATCATTGAAAATGATTTTACTATCATCTTTCTTGAATAAAGTTAATTAACTTAACACTAACGCAAAATAATCGTGATAATGTAAAATTTTTGTGGGCGGCTTGTCACCGACTTCTAATCGATGGCCCAACATAAAGCTGAAGAAAAGAAGTTAATCGACCAAATGTCAAAGAATTATTTTGCTATGAAAATTCTCAATGTCTCCAATATGAGTTAGAGACACTGCACTGATCACACACATGTCCAGCTCCCAAAAGTAAAGCATAATAAGCCAACAATCTTGTTTATAGCTGCAATAGTCTTTTTACTGCTTGTGCTTGCTGGTGTGTACTATTGGTTTTGCCGCTTTCAATTTTTGTTATATATTGATGTGGCCTAGGAACGAACCCTACTGAAAGAGAATTGGGTCAGCTCATTAGGCGGACCATTCCCCATATAGAGTCCTATCTTGAAGCAGCCACCATAGGAAAAAAGAAACAATTTCCAAGTCGAGTTAAGTAAGACTGTTTCGCCATTTTAAATTGATGCGAAAAGTTTTGATCGGATGATTTGACGTTTTGAGCTCCATTGCGCATAATCGATCCTACGAAAAGCAAACTTTTATATGGGAAAACGATCTGATGTCTAGTAGTAAACCTGGATCGTATATATCGACTTTTCGTACTCTACTACGTATAAAGTAAGCGGTTTAATAACAAAGTAATCAATTTTTTCATATTTTCTGATGAAAATCGGTCCATAGTAATAACAGCAGTTATTTAAACTAGAAATTAACTGCAGCTAATTTGGAGCATGTATTTTTATTAATTTATGACGAAACTAGACAAATAATAGCAATAGTAGTCAGTCCACGTTTGGCGACCTTTTGTTTATAAAGGAAAAAGGAAAGGGCAAAGTGCACCCGTACTTGTGGACAGAGTACATCTTTTGGTATTCTAGCATAACTCGAAATGAAGAATTATAGTAAGCGAAGTAATGTAGGATATTTAATAGACGATCTAGTTTTTAACTGTTTTTCTTTTTGATTTTATGAAATATGTTATGTTAATCCATGCCCCAAGAATCAGAGTTTTTAGTGATCAAAGTGTATACCGTTTACGATATTATGTTTTCGTAATAATATTAATTGAAGAACAATAAGTAAAATAACTTTGCGCACCTTTGAACTAAATCTTTCCCGCCCATCACCTTAAATCGACACATAATAATTTCGAAATGTTGTACTGGATGAAACCGTGTGAGTTGCTCGATTGGTACGACATTTAAATTCGTTTTTTAATTGAGTTTGAAAAATATTTTTTGCACACTTTCGACCAATATCTGTTGTAGGTCGTAGGTTCAGTCTAGCGTAATTATGACCGCTAGCTAAGAACTCGCTCAATTTCAAACGATCTACCATTAATTATGTGGGCTATTTACCAGTTCAGGCAAATTTTCGTAATCATACACGTTTCAATAATATACGAACGACTGACAGGCATGAGTAAAACAATTTATTGTTCGTCGAATATCTGATGCGCATATTTGCGACTCAGCCAACGGAAGCACAAACTTAGTGCACCCTCATTCTATATTCTAACAATTATATATCGTGAAATATTTATATTTAATTTTGAATCTCGAAGACGGCAAATGTAATTCTTTTGTTTACATACTTAACCAGCTATGAAATTTCAACTCATTTATAAACTTAATTGTTATTTGATTATTAACGTTGAAAAGCACTTTAGCAATAGTAATCTATGTAAATAATTAAAGTAGGAAATAGAATTTGATGATAAATGACTTGTTATTTGATATGTGGAGTGAATGGGTAAATATGCTTTTTTACTAATTTCGTGATATAAATATATATATTAAATATATTTTAAATATAAAAAAAAATGAATGGAAAATTTTGCAATTCTTGTTTAATTAATTTACCGCCATATAAAACAATAGTAATTAATATCGGCTGTTGTAAAATTAGTAAAAATATGCAATAACAAAAACGGCTTACGCGACATGCTCCAGATTAAAGGAAATGATATGACATATTAGAACTGGAATTTTCTTTAAAGTTGTATTTAGTTGATAAAATATTGATTTAATTAAGGCTTCCCGCCACGCGTTCTTTCTACCCACTCGCACAATAATTGCAAAAGCTTAAGTCATCATTTATCCATTTATTAGAATATCTACTAAAAATATTTATCAAAACTATGTAAAAGTTTAGCGTAAAAGAAAATATGTTTGCAATTTTTCTTTTATTAAATAACCAGTGAACAAGATTGAGTACGTTATGCCGTACGCAATTGACTTACAAGGGATAGAGGGAGACAAAGATTGATAAAAAAAGAATTTTTTCAGACAGCTGATACATATGGATAAGTAGTGCCCAGGTTATCTACGAGGGAAGTAGCGCAGGTCGAAAAGTCATTGCTACTAGAAGCAATTAAACACATTAGTGGGTCACGGACACCATTAAATATCTTATACTATCGCACTGGTGGTCATATCACATTTCAAAATGATCCGTTATATAGGAAGTGGTCAAAAAAGACGACCAATCCGAACCATTTTTAATAGCGTTCGTCCTTTGGCCAGTGTACCAAATTTTATCAAAATATCTCAAAAATTGCGACGTGTAAGTTGAACATAAAATACATGAACAGAAAACAGAGGGACAGACAAGCTTAAATCTTCTGCATCCCTTAATCGGTATAATAAAAGGTCGATCTATCTCAAGTCATTCTGGGCGTTGCCTACATCCGCATGAATTTAATCTACCCTTGTATCACAAGTGTTGTAATGTATAAAAATAAAATCGAAAGTTATACTTAAAGTTTAATAAGTCAAAACTAATGCCGAATAGTTCCTTAAAAGGATGTGACAGCATCCGATGTCCAACGTTAGATTTTTGTTTGAAAAATTCGCAGAAAATGTGCTTCACATAGATAACTAGGCTAGAATTGCGAGTAATATACGAAGAGGAAATGTAATTATTTTCGCAAATGAAGAAGAACCGGCAATTAGTCCGCAGGTTCTATAAACCTTAAAGTTACTGCAGACTTGAGATTTCGGCGACGTTCTCTTCTATAGGAGCGAATTATATGACCGGCACATTTCTTGAGACTCTAACGGCGTTTTAACAATAGATGCAAGTTAGGCCAAACCACTCTCTCTTTTTCTCTCTCTCTCTCTCTCTCTCTCTCTCTATCTCTATCTCTCTCTAGGCTCTCTTCTCAGTTGATATGTCCTTAGCTTTAGACCAGATGATAAAAACCTTTTGGTT